CTGCCGAGCACAGGCGCCTCCGGTCCCTCCGACCACCACCAGAAGACGAGGTGGGTTAATTCACCAGAGACTCAGAACATTTCTGCACTTACTTGACCTATTTTTGGCTATAGAAAATTAAAATAAATAAATTAATTAAATTTAAATGGATTATTACAAATTAGAATATTTGTATTTTTTTAATACACCATCCTTTCTGAGCACTTTGCATATTTTCATGAAAAAGCACAAGGTACTGACTCACTAAAATAAAAAAAAGTACATCAGACTCAGACTTTTAAGAAGAATCACCTACAGAGGATTTCAGGTGAGAAGCTTCTCAACATGAGCTAGGCGTAGATCAAGTACCCCTTCCTCACCTCAGAAACAAACTCATTAGTCACTTCACGGGAGTCAGGATTTTTTATACCCGAGCTCGTTAGAAGACCGTATTTTAGATTGATCATTTGCTTAAGCCTTGCATGGCATATTTCTCTTATACATACTTTGTGTTCATCCAGGTGTGAAGCCTGGAAAGGCTTAAAGGTGTAGCAAGATGTGTCTGTGAAACATAAAAGAGCAGCGGCAAACCACAACAGCTGCTGCCCTTTGACCTTTAAACCTTTTCTTCAGTTACAGAGCTTCTCATTTCTGCATGTGTGTGCCCGTTCCTTTGTGCAGCTGTGAGATGTGTGCAGGTGTGTGAATGTGTGTTCATGTGCAGGAAATCTAACCTGACCAAGTCAGCATGTCCTGCTTCATCTTCCACCTGCAGCGTAATCAGATATTAATTAGGTAACAAGTAGTTTTTCTCCCCAAACTTGTGACTCTGAGAGAAAAGTGAAATGAAGAGTTCATCACAAGACAAACTGTCAAACTTACGGAGTTACTTTATATGCCAGTATTTTTCAGGTTCAATTTGTTAAATGGTCATCTTCTAGGGAGCAGTAAGTGCCCGTAACTGTTCAGGGAACAGGTTTAATTCTATTTGCTTCTGTAACATCGGTGTTATGCAAAGAAAGTAGCAGATTTAAATTTTATTCAATGTATTCATCCACTGGTGCATGAAATGTTTAAGGGAGTCGGCTCAATTTAAAACCAGTTTTCATTCAGTGCACTTTGTTGGAACTTCTATGGGACCAATTTAGAGCCATTAGGGTTCTGAGCTCATAAATTAATGAATGAGTTGTTAGTTATAAACTCAGTTTTGTTACAGAGAAAAATAAATCTGCCAGAGTGAATAACAGTTAAAATTTGGCTCACAAGCAAAAGGTTTTGGTACAATTTCACCCAAAACAGTGAGGCTTGACAAATACAGTATGCAACCCAAACTTTTCTATTTGTTAAACAAAAAGCCTTTGTAGCGTTGTTGATAAAACGTTTTAATACAGAAAATATTACAAACGATGGGTTCACCAGGAATGTTGACTTTGTAAGGTGCCGTGACAAATTTGCTGTGATTTGGTACTATATACATGAATAGAATTGATACCTGATTCTTGTTATTGGTAAAGAATAAAATTTTCTTTTCAAGCCTGGAAAAACTAGAAAATGATAAAACCATCAACTTTCTTGTGTATGTTAATTCTCACGCGGAAGGATTTCTTGGAATTACTTCAGGAGAAATATGCATAAAGTTAGTAATGTGAAATAACGATAATTCAAAAAGAGAAATTTTTAGTATGAAAATGTCGCTCTTGAAAAAAATTTCTTTTTTTTTTCCTTTTTGTAGCATCAAGTTAGTTTTCTGCTGGATGGATGTTTTACATCAGGAATCTAAAAAACTGGAGCAAAACCTTTTAGAGGGTTCATCTTCACAGTTATCATTTTAGCTTTATGGGTTTTTTCTAACTGGTTTCTGGATGTGATTCAGGTTTGGTCATCATCGCCTCCGACAAATCCTGAAACTGAGGCATTTGGAGTCAGTCGTCCATGCCTTCATTACCTCTCGCCTTGACTACGCAAACGCCCTCCACGTTGGTGTTCCGGTCTGTGCCCTGAATCGGCTGCAGGTCGCCCAGAACACTGCTGCCAGGTTCTTGATGAATACACACCGACGTAGCCATTTTACCCCTGACCTGGCACATCTTCACTGGCTCCCTGTCATTTTCAGAGTACAATTTAAGTTATTGACTTTCGTATTTAAATCACTCAACGACCTGGCACCTCCCTATCTCTCTGACCTGCTCACTCCATATGTACCCACCACGCGCACGTTGAGGTCGGCTGACCTTTTGCTGCTGTGTATGCCGCGGATGCGATACAAATCGGGGGGTGAACGAGCATTTGTCCATGCTGCCCCAAAGCTGTGGAACTCGTTACCCATTGGAGCTCAGCAGGCTCCATCACCGGCAGTTTTTAAATCTCGATTAAAGACCCATTTTTACAATTTGGCTTTTAGACAGTGACTCGTTTTAGTGTTTTATTGTGTCAGTGTGTTCTTAGTATTCATCATGTTTTATCTGCTTTTGACTGGTATTGTTATCTTCTGTTTTAGTTCCTTGGAATGGTCGCGTTTTATTTTAGCCGGTGCTGCACTTTGGGCAGCTCCCATGCTGCGTTTAAAATGTGCTATAGAAATAAACTATGGTATGGTATGGTATGGTATCATGTATTCGCCCTTCATACAGAACCAAATCTATTGGTTGGTTGATATCTGAGCAGGAGAATAGATACAATTAAGTATGCATGGTGGTGCAGTGGTTAGCATTGTTGCCTCGCAGCACGAAGGTCGCAGGTTCGAAACTCGGCTGTGGCCTTTCTGCGTGGAGTTGCGTGTTCTCCCCATGCATGCGTGGGTTTCTTCCGGGTACTCCGGTTTCCCCCACAGATCACGACATGCCCTATAGGTTATAAATTGTAAGTCGCTTTGGATAAAAGCGTCCGCTAAATAAATAAACATAAACATAAGTTTATGCTCAAGATATTGCACTCGCCTGAAAATCGGCATGTCGAGAGGAGCCAGCTGAGGGGGGTTTAGATGAGAATGAGAATGTCCCCTGCATGCCTGCCAGCCAGGGGAGGTGTTTCAGTCCTATCCTGCCCCGGGTCAACCCAGGGCACGTTGGAAGGGTTACAGCTCCACATTGGCCTGGGAACGTGTGGATCCTGCTGGTGGTGCTTGTGGAGGTTGCAGGGGAAAGGAAGGTTTGGGCCTCTTTGCTGGAGTTGTGGTCCCCGCAAACAGATGGTACTCACATGAAAATAGAGTGCAAATGTTTAGTTTCTCATTACTTTTATGTGGACTTTATAAATGCACACACCTTACAAATCTCCTCTTGTTGCATTTCCTCTTCTCCTTCTTGCTTTGAGATGAAACCAGAGTTCCTCTCCAGTAAATGATCCTCTGTTAATTTGTAGAAAGAGCAGCGACATACAAAAAGATTCTCTTCACAGCAGACATAAACAGACCAGAAGCCGTCAGTGTAGTTTTCTCAAAGCTGAAGCAGCTCACTGGCTGGCCACTAGCGTCTCAATCTGCAAAGGCGCTGTGCTCTTCTACATGTGCAACAAAAAGACCACCATGACCCCAACTGTCAACACGCATATTCCTCAAAATTTACATAAGCTTCTGTACAATTGTTGGAGCGCACACACACACACACACACACACACACACACACAGACACACAGTCTGATGTTACAACTTAAACAATGTTGAACAGCCTCCTCACATATGAAGTTTGAATCTTCATTTTATTCAAAGTAAGATCCCACCGACGGCTGCAGCCAAGATTTGCCTTGTGCTGCAATACATGAACAACCTGCTGTTTATTTTTCATCTGGTGTAGAAACTAAAACCCAGGCGTGATGATTAGAGATTTAAGGCTGTAACTCGGCCCTGTGCCTGCTTTTAAGTAAATAAGATTGTGTCGCACCTTTTTCAACAAAACACGACCAACCTTGTGACTATGTGGGTAGTGATATGCCTCAGAGCTTTTAAGATTGTTCATTGCCTCGCCATTGGACACAACAAAGTTAAGAAAGTAGCTAAAAATGCTACTGTATGTTAGCTTTGGCCAGATTTTCCCATCATCATTCCGCTGGTGCAGGGATTGTCCTGTTTGAGCTGTGGCAGCTGGTGTTTGCACATATTTACCATCTCTATAAAGACCATAAAAAGTGGATTAGCACAAACGGATTGGACCATCCATCTATGGTCTCCATGTAAACAAATGTTCATGGGTCTACGGATAAAGTGGAAATGAAATAAGGCTAAAGTAGCGGTATGCTAACTTAGCTAGAGGCAAACCACAGAGCTCCTCTTCTACAGAAGCATGTCTCTAACACTTCCAGCTCATATAGTCACCCGATTTCCTTCGGGCAGATGTTTGAACAGGAACACATTCTTCTTCTTTGTCGACGCCATGCCACTGATTGAAATAAATTAGCCTTCTAGCACAAAATCAGGCTTTATTCTGTATTTTTGATTCTTGTGTAAGTTGATTAATTTCAAAGCAAAATTAATTCAATATTTCATTGGAAGCCACACACACACACACACACACACACACACACACACACACACACACACACACACATTTTATCAATCGATATAATTGTAGATTTCCTTTTGCTGTGTGACTTGAAACCCTCACCCATTTGCATCCGTGGAAAATGATGGATTTCATATTTCCCTTGGGAAATTAATCGTTCCGTACATTTCTGGACCAGGTACAGATTAAAAACTGGGCCTATTATAAACCCATTAACCTAGTCATTAGATGTGGGAAAAGATAGAAAAGGTGGCACTCTGTCACCAATAATCTCAGTTGTTGCCTTCTGGCACAGAGGAGAACTGAAGCATTATCCCTCGAACGTGATGCCTAAGCACTGCCTTAAGTTCAAATGTCATGACTTTTGAATGAATATTCAGCAACTTAGATTTTCTGCCACCTTTCTTTGAGATGTCATCTTTTATTTAAATGCATGAATAAATTATTCATTTATAGATGTCTGAAAGGTCATAAAAATGCTGAAAGTGATTGGATTTTTCTTTTCCTCTCTTTCAATTCATTCAGAGGCTGGCAACGGAGGCTGAAAATTTTCAGAAGGAACACCAGTGGAGGGTCGACAGTGAGGTGAGAGAGTGGCACAATGAGATCTGTGCACTAATATGATCTGTGTTCCGCCCGATCGAGTTGTGCTGTGATCCGCTTCCACAGAGCAGCGTGTTTTACACCATCCAATACGTCTGATCATTAGCTATCCAATCTCATTACAGCAACGGTGCTGTTTTAATAACGCTGAATAAAAGATGGATTTCTTGAAGCACGTTAGGGGGAAAGCAGGCATGATGAACACACACCTGCATTAATCTGGGTATTAAACCATTAAATGAATAAATAAATTACCTTCCATGCATATGTCGTGGTTTTATTAGCTCTCTAGACTGTGTGAGGCTACATTTGAACTCCAATATTTTATTGCAAATGCAACATTTGGCTTCCTTTCCCCTGCAGCCATTTAACAGATGATAATTAATACTGTGCGTACATTCTGAGACGAAAGAAATGTAACTTTGCTATTAATCCAATTAGTTTTAAAAGTCTCCCTCCAGTTGTTTTCCATAATGATTATTTTCAATTAAATGTTTTTGAGTTATTCAATGCCATGCATATTTTCCAGTGCTGACAAATTGAAGAAGAAAATACCTCTCTGGTGACAGACTGATTTATTCGCTGAATAGCTCCACTTCCTTACTTCTCAACTACTTCCTTTTCCCAGCATGTAAACACAACTGTCAGGTGTAAAATAAATCAATGTCAGTAGAAAATGACATAGAATCATAGGTATTACCATAGAAAAGTCCCTAATCATGTATGAACCACTAACAGTTTTAGATTTCCCTTTTATTATCATCATTGTGTTGTCAAAAGATTACTACTTAAATTCTGACCTGATCTTTAAGGTGGTGTTCTCTTTTTAAAGAGCTCATCCCCACCAGTGTGTGAATGTGTGTGTAAATGGGTGAATGACTGATTGTGTTGTAAAGTGCCTTGGGGAGTTCCAAGACTCTAGAAGGCGCTATATCAAATACAGGCCATTTACCATTTACCATTTTAAAGTGTTTTTGTGATTTTTCTAGCTTAGTTCTGTTAAGCCCGGTACCTTTGCTGCTCTTTCTCCTCCGACTGTTGGAGATCTTCTGAGTCCAACCCTTGGAGTGACAAATGCTATCCTGGAGATGCTGAAGCAACATACAACCATAGCAGACCATCACACTATCACCACCATGTTTTACTGTTAGAAAAATGTGTTTTCTGAAATGCAGATTTAATATTACTTCTGACGTAACGGGACACACACCATCCAAAAATCCGCCAAGGAAGTGCAAGATAATCACCAACCCAGTCTTACAACCTGGTATTGAGTGTAAGGGTCTCGCATGGGGCCAAGTTGATTTGATTCTCTTTAACTGACCAAAAAGCAGAAAAGGTAAAATACTTTTTTAACAGCCCTGTTTGTAGAATGTGAGCATGAGTGTTTATGCGCATGCGTGTGTTCTCCTTCACCTTTGATAACTGGAGCAGCACTACTGGGCACCTCTCCCTGTTGACTTCAAACACTCAAGAGCTGTAGCAGTAACAAGCAGACACTCACATGTGTCTGCTTAGTGTGACATGATAACTGGAGCTATTTTTAACTCATCATCTTATAAAAGTTCCATCTAACTGCATCAACAAGATCAATTCTAATTCTAGACTTAGCTTTTTCTGTCCCCTGGAGGAGTTCTTGCACACACCAGCCTTTCCTGAGGGCTGTGTCACAGATATCTCCATAACAACATGAGCATTTCAAGTTTTAGCAGCAAGTTTTAGTTCATTTACTTTCGTTTGCACACAATGAGTTTTAAAAACCAATAATATCTGCAAATTTGCCCATTACCATAACCTAAAAGATTAATTGCTCTTGAGTGTGTTTTCTTTTAGTTCTCAAGCAAAACCAGATGTTACTGTTCGTCTCAGTCTTTTTAACTAAGCAGCATGCCTTAGGCTTAATCACAAACCCTTTAAGCTAAAATAGTCATGAGTACTTGGCTTTCTGCTGGTGTGAGACTTCAGTGTTTGCAGACAGGTGGTGGGAGTCGGTGCAACCATCTCTGTGGCTCCAGGGCATCCTAACGTCAACAGAAATGCTAGCTCTTTAGCGCCCAGCTAGCTTGGGATATGACAAGAAGCCTGCAGCAGCACTGCAAAAATAACACACAGATTCTTTGTGTCAAGCTCAAAAACAGTTCAAATGAAGTTCATGCATCACTGTAAAAATCTGTAGCAGCTACATATTTGCTAATGATTACTTTGAACTTGACAGAAGCCAGTTTGACTAAAGAACTCTCATTCACCACGTGAATTTTGGAAGGATAGAATAGAAATGTGGTCTCAGTTTGCGTTGTGTTTAGTTATAACAAACGCAGTTGGTCTTGTGCACTCAGGGTATTTTAAGAACAAGGATTTATAAAACAGTCGCACTTTACTGTGCTGATGTAGAGAAGTGAACTTAAGGGTGGAGTCATCACTGAAACGTGGCTGCAGGTGCAACTTCCCCAGCAAGCAAATGTCCTCACAAAACCAAATGCTAACCTATTGATTTATTCGCTGAACTAATATATGTGATAGACTCATTACAAGCGAAGCCAGATATTTCAAGCCTTTATTTGTTATTACTATGATGATTTTGTCTTACAGCTTATGAAAGCCCCAAATTTAAAATCGTTTACAATTAGAAAATCGTGGTAAGGTTCAGTATTCTAGGCTTAAAGTGTCACAAACTAATCAGATAATCAAAGGCCTTCTGCAAAGTCTTCCCAAGCCTTTACATGGTCTCTCGGTCTAAGCTGAATTACTGATTTAATTTAACTTTTGCACATTTTTCGTATTTGTTGAAATTCACCTGTACTGAATATGTCTCATTATATCTTGTTCCTATTTCCTTGTTTATCTCCCTGCAGGCTAACAAACTCTTCTACTACAATGCTAAAGATGGGGTGAGTACAATCTGGTGTGTGTTCATAGTAAAATGTTGTTGCATAAGTATCTGTGTGTGTTTTGAAGCTTCTATATAGTCTCTGACATCACCGGTCTGCCCTGATAAACAGGAATCAACTTCCTGCTCATCTCTTTTCCTTTGGGACAGAACTACACACCCACTGCACATCACTGTCACTCTATGCCTGTCATCTATATTATCATTTATGTCATTTACATTTAGCCTCCCAATACAGGATAGAACCATTAAAATGTATTGTCTGTCAAAAAAGAGGTTCTTCATGTATCGTTTGCAACATTTTTAAGTGTGTTTGAGTTCTGCTTTAATGTGTATTTTGTTATTCAGATAAACAGAACAGCATTAGAGGTGAAACAGGAGAAAGAAAAAGAGAAGAGGAACCGATTCATTCCAGATGATTTTGAATTCGACCCAGCCTTTAAACGACTCGTCTCGTTCAACACCACCGGCGTTCACATCCCCACGGACATATATGAAGGCTGTGAGTAGAGACACATGCACCTGCTTTGTAGAAATTTAATTGTCGAGTTTTTGCCAAAACCAAACTAGTAATTTAGAAGAAGCAGCAACAATGACAGACCAATAAGCTAAAAATGTTGATAAATTAAAAATTTTTAAAACTAGTTTCACCATTTTAAGAAAAACATGTAACATTTCTGGCATTTGATTTTAAAAAGCTGACCAAAAACTTTTGAAACCTGTAGAATGTCATTTTACAACCATTTTCCATTGAAGCTCATTCAACAGACCAATCAGCGCAATTTAAAGGGACATTATGGAAATTTGACAGCCAAAACATGTATAGAAATAATAAATTTCTTCTTCATACATTCTCCTGCAATGCCCTGGTCCTGTAGAATGAGCCCTGGCATTTTTACTGTGATTGCCTGTTTTTCTGTAAAATCACAGAAAAAGAGAGCTGCTCGGGTCGAGCAGGCTGCTTCATGCGTGTTCACGCTCAGGCATAGCACGTAGCATTTGCTATCCGTAGCTTTAGCAGCAGAGAGAGAGGTAGTGCGACTTTGTCGCTGTTCCTAACGCCTAGTGACAAAGCTAGCTACATTTCTGAGGACCCTTAGCTACTTTCTGTAGAACTTTCTTCTAGATATTTCCTGCAAATTAGCAACAAAATAGCCATTTTCGCTCCCAACCGTTCTTTGGTTTGACGTTGTTTCAGCTGTCATCAAGGATATAAACGTTACAGATACTGTGAATGTTATTAGAGTGTAAATCACCTTGTAAGATGTCTGACTCCCATGCAGAAGACCTGGGTTTGATTCTGGGTGTGAACATTGTAGTTCATTGTTTCTTTTTTACATTAATGGTATATTTTTTACAGTAAGATGCCAAATTTTTATTTGAGACTCGCCGAACGGCATTGAATTCACAGATAAAAAAGATGTGGGTTCAACTTTCATTTTGGAACAATTTTTCAAGCAAGGGAAGGGAATGATCTGAGCATGCAGGAGGACTGACCCATCATAAACCTTTGTCAGCTGTGCTGAAGAGAAAGGTACAGAACCAAATTATTTAATTAATTAGCGGCGCGTTCTCCTGTCCTCTGTCCTCCGGGCCACACCCACACACACACACAGGGGACTGTGTGCACGTACAGCATGCACGCCTCGTGCACGAGCCTACTATTGAAGCTGCCGTTACGTTTTTGGCCTGAGGGGGCAATCGCGAGCAAAAAATTCAAAAGTCTGTAAAGTCCCTTTAAAAGCTTGACACTTTCACTTTTCTAATTAAACTGAGAAGTCTCCTTGGATCAAAACATCTTCAAAGTTCCTGAAAAATCAAGTCGCCTGTTTAAATCATATTTTTTCTTTTGCCTTTTTTGATTAATTAATTAACCCTCCCACTGTCCTATTGAGTGTCCCCACCAGGAAAGTTGACCTTTGAGCAGGGTTGATGGTTTGTCCCTTGAGGTCCACATGGCACGGTGGTCCACGGGTGAGGTTGTGCTCACTCCTCACCCCTGCCACACGGACCTCAAGGGATAAACCATCAATCCTGCTCATAGGTCAACTTTCCTGGCGGGGACACCCAATAGGACAGTGGGAGGGTTAAATGTTTATTTTTTATGTGAACCAGGGATGTTAGCCATTTCAGATGAAATGTTTAGATAAAAGAAAATTTAACTTTTCATATAAATTATAATGATTTAATCATGAGTTTACATATCATCCTGTTTCTGCCTTTGTCTCTACTTTTTAATATTTTCTGTGAACTTTAATGATGTGGAGCTAAGCCTTTAAGCGCCGTCTGCATTGTAGACCACTCTATATGGAGACTATTCTATTTATAGTCCCGATCCCAGCCACCCGGTGGTCAGCACACTCCTCTCTGCCCTGATCTCCAGCTGCTCCTTTCCGTCACGCCAACTCCTCGTTTGGCAGCTTCCCAGCTTGTTAGTCCTCCCAGCATTGATTAGTCTTTCTATAAATCATTTGTACTTGTTTCACAATGAATTTCACGTTTCTCTGACAGGCATATAAGATACTGTAGTGTCAGAAAGCAGCAGACCTGTTGATTACTAGAATTAATTTATAAAAGATTCAGTTGTGGTTGCTTTTTTTGTGTGTTTTTTATTTTTGCTTCAACAGCATCTTATTGGCATATATCCAAGTACTGAATAAAAATAGTCTTTAAGATATTCACTTTGTTTTATATGAACAGAATTTATAAAATAATTCTTTTGGACTTTATCTAAGACCAGATTATGCCCATTCCTCTCGGGACATAAAGAACAAATTAAAGCGGTTTCTTTTTTATCATGTCATATGCAAACAAGGCAAGTAGCAAGTAGTGGTGTGATCTCATTTACTACAAAAAACTATGATGTAAGTCATAAAAACTGCAGATTTGGTTTTGTGTAGAAAAAAGTATAGTCAGAATTTGTAGATGTCCTTCACTCAAGAAAATAAGGAGCATTGGCAAATTTTGTAAAAGATCAATAAAATAAATTCTTTATTTAGATGAATAATTTGGACGATTTGGCTCTCTAACGGTTGTGAAATTACGTCAAACCTCACCTTTTGCATCATTTTCTGCTGCCATGTGGATCTCTACTTCTTCTAAAAACAACTCCCAATATGAAAAAAGTCTATTTTCTATCAGTGTTTGGTTCAGGAATGTTTTGCCTATTACAAGCCCTTTCCAAAAGTCCCCTATTGTGGCATCATAAACTAGGAAATTAGAATAGAATCATCTCTCACATGCAAGAGAGAGCTCCACTCCAAGCCCCTCCCATATATCAGAGCTTCTCAGCTTATAGCAGCCTGGGCTGCTTGGGATTGCAACAGCGTGAATTGGCCCACCTGCTTTGACGATTCCCTTAAGCCTGGTTTGTGCTTCTCCGTCAGCTCCGCAAGGGACAGAGACGCACGGATTGACGGAAGCGTTTTGCTCTCATACTTCTCCGTCTCCTGGAGAGTGTTGCAAAGCAATTCCACGGCAGGAAAACAGAGGGCGTAGCGTTGTTCTGTGGTATCTGTCGTGTATCGGTCCAAGATCGTGTGTTTTTATTGTGTTTTTTTGTGTGTATAAGAGACTTTTAACACGGACATATTTGTCTCTCATTCTCCCACCGCTTCATGTGCTCCCCACCTCTAAACCCATGTTTCCTGTCATTTCCGTCCACAAATAAAACGCTTGCTGCGCATCTTTTCACTCCTCCAGTCACGGGAGGATAAAATGTTCATACTTTTAGAGTTTTTTCGCGAGGTATTCTTCAAGCTTCTCTGTGTCTGCCGCTAGTTATCCTCGGCTCTCTTTGACCGCGGTCAAGTGAGCCGTCATTTGTGATTGACGGCTCACTTGACCGCGGTCTCTCACCGCAATGGCGGCGCTGTAAACAACAGCAGCGTCCCGACCAATCTCAAGCTTGCGTAATCCATCTCGTTCGACGGATGTTTAAAAAAGTGGGCTCGACTCCGTACGTACTTGCGTGCCCTACGCAAGGACGGATAATGGCGTTGCGTGTCTCCGCACTGACGCAGACGGAGAAGCATAATTCAGGCTCATACACCCCCTACCTCACCCCTCCAACGGTTCATTTCTGGTGAATATCTAGGATTTTTTAGTGTATGATCAGATGTTTGTGCCCTGGAATGCTGGAAAATTGAGGATTGACCCTAATGTGAACTAATCTGATTATTCGGTATCTCTTTGTGCAAGTGGCCTGAAAGTGGAGACCTAAGCCTTTAGTGTGTGTGTGTGTGTGTGTGTGTGTGTGTGTGTGTGTGTTACTGCCATATCCATGGGGTTATTGTTATTCTAGGACGCTGATGAGTACAATGCAAGAATGCCCTGAGGAGCACAATTAGGATGCAGGCATGTCTGAATTCACAAGTTGTGTCCTTCCTTGGAGAAACCCTTCCAATACCAGGATGTTAAGCTTGTGGTGTCAAGGCTGCACAAAGATCAGACATTACGTCAGTTATTTTTAGACAAATATGATTTTGTACCGTGTTCAGTGCTTGTTGACTGTGATTGCGCTTTCACTTTAGTAATGATCCTCACATTGAGTCTGCTGGCTGTAGCGGACTTAGTCATATGACTTTAACATCCTTATAGAGCCAGTCACTCCCTACGAGCTGGACTATAAATGTGCAGTGACGGGCCTCTAAGGCCTCTGACTGTGCAGACATTTTGTCATTGCCAAATGACCAAATGCACTTAGTTATTTTTACAAGCAGCAGTAATAATGATAAAAAAAAGTAGGGGGAGGGGGGAGTTGTTCTGTGATTCAATCATCTTTCTTAGTCTAAGTGGACCACTGGCAGCTCAGCTCAAGGTAGAGTTTGACTTTATGAGCTTCCAAAAATCTGTGATATTTTTTTCTAAATATGTGGGCAGCACTAAATGGCCTGCATTTGTATAGCGCCTTCTAGGGTTCTGCACCCCCAGGTGCTTCACATCACAGTCATTCACCCATGCACGCACACATTCACACGATGGTGGTGATGAGCTACAATGTAGCCACAGATGCCTTGGGGTGCACCAAGGTCACCAGTCTTTCCAGCTGTCGTGTCTTGCCCAGGGACACAACGGCAACATTCTCTGCTGGAATCTATACGTGTTGTCTTGATTTTCTTTGTCCAAGTTTTGATATATTATCCTAAAATGTTTGAGTAATAACCTTGAGAATTATTGGCAGTCTTCATTTCTCCTCCAGCCTTTAATTGTGAGCTGCAGCGTGCCCCCACTTACAGTTAGTGAATAAACACCCTCTTCAGTTCTGCCATACAACCTCCAAGGGCATGGTGGCTCACATCAGTTCTCCTCATCATTAATTAGCACATGTGACTGAAAAATAGGGAAAAGTGTAATCTGCACTTTCAGAGCTGGACTTTAATAAATAATAATTATCTAGAACATTCCTGGAGAAATTTTAAAAAGGACCTGCCACTTGGCACAAGCTAGTTGTCATGTGGTATGAAGGCGAAATAATGATATTTGGTAGATGTTGGGTTAGCA